GTTCTGAAAAATAGTCAAAAGTTCTCAAAGAATTATTTAAAGTGTTTTTAAATGCCCCCCTTCTACAGTGTCACCATTTTGGCAGGGGAAAATGTTGTGCTACAATGATATTTTTAAAAAATCAATTGTTCAAATCAGATTTTCTTTCTTTTTTTCTTGGTTTGTTTATTTATTTTACTAGGAATTGGACCCAGGGCCCTCTGCATGCTAAATACATGCTCTACACAGAGTGGTACCTCCTGCCCTACAGTGTGTTTTTCAGTTGTCTTAGCAGCTGGGCCAGCTTCTATGAAGGACCCTGTGTTTATCAGGTGCTCTTCTGACTTTGCATTGAAATTCTTTTTAAAAAATATTTATTTTTTAGTTGTAGTTGGATACAGTATCTTTAATTAATTTATTTATTTTTATGTGGTTCGATCAACCCAGGGTCTCGCACTTGTGAGGCAAGTGCTCTACTGCTGAGTCACACCCCAGCCCTGCATTGGAATTCTTAATAATCTTTCTTTTAAAGTTTGTTTATTTATTTTTGTGGCATTGGAGATTGAACCCAGGGGCTTTGTTTGTTTGGTTTTTGTACCAGGGATTGAACCCATGGGCTCTTTACCACTGAACTACCTCCCCAGCCCTTTTTATTTTGAGACAGGGTCTCACTAAGTTGCTGAGGCTGGCCTCAACTTTGAATCCTCTGCCTCAGCCTCCTGAGTTGCTGGGATTGCAAGAGTGAGCCACTGCACTGGCTTAAAATCTTAATAATCTTTGAACGATATGCCCATATCGGGCTGAACCCTGTGAATCATATCACCAATCCCACACAGAGCGAGGAGAGAGGCTCCAGCCCCATCATCTCAAGGGCATGAATTGCTTGCAGCTGCTCTGTTGGTGGGTTGCCTGTGGCCAGGGTTGAGGACAGGGAGGCCGAGCATCATGGCATGACCTAGAGGACCTGGTGGCTCCCAGAACCAGCCCTCTTACCGCAGAGATGGACCAAAGGGCCAAAGTCCCAGGTCCTGCAGTGGCGGCTTCCTAGAACCAGCCCACCCCTCCCTCCCTGCCTGACCCTCCCCAGTAGGTCCTGACCCCCCTGACTCCTGAGTGATGTGAAGAGGGTGAGTGGGGAGGAAGCACAGGCTTTGCAGGGTGGGAGTTTAGGCGGGAGAGGTCAACTGGGTCTCAGAAGCTTCGGGGGCTGATGAGCCAAAGCAGTTGCCTCTACACTGGAGAATGAGGGTGTGGGAAAAGAGGGGAACGGGGGTCACCCCACCAGTTTCTCCCCACCAGCTCACCTCCCCTGCTCTTCTTTCTGATTAATAGCAATTACTTTTTTAAAAAAGTCCCTGGGTAGTGCTTACCCAGAATGCACAGGGCATGGGACTCCATCCCCAGCACCTCAAAAATAAACAGACCCCTTCCCCACCCCTGGGGTCTCCTCCCACTCCTTCCTCTTAGGAGCTGAACTGAAGCCCAAATACCTCAAGGGCAAATTTACTTGGAGATCGTGTTTGCAGGTGTCCAGGTTAAACTGAGGTCATTAACACAGGCCCTACTCCAGTATCACCGGTGGAGAAGTTTGGACACAGAGACAGACACATGCACAAGACAGATCCACACAGGAAGAGGTCAGGACAAACTCCAGCCACCACCCGAGGCCGAGAAGGGACCTGGAACAGAGCCTCCTGAGCACCTTCAGAGGGAGTGTGGCCCTGCTGAGCCCTTGGACCTTAGACCTCTCTCTATCCAGGTCTGTGAAACAATACATTTCAATTGTTCTAAGCAGCCCCAGGAAGCAACTCCAGCTTCTTATCTGTCACCTTTGGTAGCAGGGTGGGTTTCAGTGGAGAGGAGATAGTGGGGGGGCCTGGGAAGGTTTCTCAGAGGAGCTGGGCCCTGTTGACAGGCGGTGGGGTCGGTGGGTGAGGGAGGGCAGAGGGACACACGCAAGGGACTGGGGACTGACCTCCAGGTCCATTCATGCTGGGTGTGGGGGTGAGAGGGCACTTACTTAGGGCTGGGCCTGACCAGGGAACACTGTGTTTGTTAATAGGCCATATACCCGTGGCTCTGGGGGGTGAGAGGGCATCTGCTGGGAAGGGCTGGGCTGAGGCCACAAAGCTCTTTCTCTAGAACACACACCCTATCCCAGCACCCCCAGTCCAGCAGCCCTGAGGGATGAGTCATTGAATCTCTGGAGAGGGAACAGGGAAGGATCAGATGCCTCTCAGAGCTGGCTGGGGACCAAGGGAACAGCTGATCCCAGGCCCAGACATGGGGGAAACCCCAGAATCCTGCAGAGCAGGGGCAGAGCCCTCCAAGCTCCCATGGCAGGAGGGGGAGACGGAGGTCAAGATCAACGAGGCCCAGCATGTAGCAGGTGGGAAGAGGCCAGAAGACGAGGAAGGAGGTGGGGAGGGGAAAAGGAAGGATGAGAAGGAGAGAACCCAGAAAGAGGAAATGGAGCCAGGCACGGTGGCCACACCTGCAATCCCAGCGGCTCCGGAGGCTGAGGCAGGAGGATCAGGAGTTCAAAGCCAGCCTCAGCAACTTTGCGAGGCCCTAAGCACCTCAGAGAGACCCTGTCTCTAAATAAAACATAAAAAAGGGGGGAGGGCTGGGGATGTGGCTCAGTGGTAGAGCGCCCCTGGGTTCAATCCCTGGTACAAAATCAACTACCACCAAAAAGGGAATGGAGGAGAGAAGGGAGGACAGAGGATGAGAGGAGCCGGGAAGTTCCTCTCCACTGAGGCTCATGTCCGTGTCTCAGATGCCACCACCCAAAGCCCCAGAACCAAGGATTCAGCTCAGCTGTATTCCCTCCCATGCCCATGCATGTCCTCCTTAGACAACAGCTGGCTAGCAGGGACCGGCCCCCTCCTCTGGGCCCCTGCTGTTTCAGGAAGTGCACTCAAGGCAGGGCAAAGTCCAGGGTGGGTCTCTGGAGATGACCTCTACTGGGCTAGGCAAGAGAATTCCACTTCTAGCTCCGAGTCCCCTTTCTTCCTACCCAGATCCTCCCAAGGGGACAGTTCAAGGGGATGGAAACACTGAGCCCCTTGGGCTGGGTTTCTGCCTCGGTTTCCCTCCCTCCTTCTCTGGGGACAGGCAAGGGACAGAGGGAGCTCCTGATAGTCTGAACACAATCCACTGTCATTTCCTGCTGCCGTGAACCTGGTCTCCATGGCTGTGGAGCTCAAGGTAATTAAGTCCAGAAGAGCCTCTAGAGGCCCAACCCTTGTTTTTTCAAGGAAGACACAGAGGCCAGAGATAATGGAGTGGCCCATGGCACGTAGCTGGCTCCTGGCAGGATTAGAATCTGGGGCTCCTGAGACCCCGTCTTGTGACCATTCTCAGGGCACAAAGCAGGGGTGAAGTAATGCAGAAACGGTCAAGACAGATGTTAGAGGAAACAACTTTCAGGCAAAGTGTCTCATGGTACATGAAGAAGAAGACCCTGGGCAGAAGGGAGACATGCACGCCTGTGATCCCAGCCACTCGGGAGGCTGAGGCAGGAGGATTGTGAGTTCAAAGCCAGCCTCAGCAACTCAGCAAGACCCAAAGCAACTTAATGAGACCCTGTCTCTAAATAAAACATAAAAAGGGCTGGGGATGTGGCTCAGGGGTTAAGCACCCCAGGTTTAATCCCTGGTACCAAAAAGGAAGACCCTGGGGTGTTTGGTGCAGGCATGGGAGGTGAGAGGGAGTGGGACAGGGACATTCACAGAGTGTAGACAGGCTCCCGATGGAGCATCTGTCTTGTGCCAGGCATTGTGTCTGGCGTGTTCCGTTAGATCCTTGAAGCTGCCAGATCAACAAGCAGGTGTTTTGAACTCACCTGCTGGGAGGTAACAGGCTCAGAGAGGCCAACCCAAAGCAGGCTCCAAGGTCCCGTACTTACCAGAAAGGTTTCTGGGAGAGGAGGGGAGTCCAGGGGGCATAAGGCTGTGCCCTGGGTGGAGGGCGCCCCTCACCTGGGCCCTGGGGTGGGCAGGTCCAGGAGCAGGCTTGTGGGGACAGCATTGTCAACATTACTCACCCTGCTCAGCAGCAGCATGGTGGGGCAGGTGCCAGTGGGCGAGGAACAGGCAGAGCAGTACAGTTGCCAGCCTCGGCATTGGAACACGGAGTATCGCGTCTGCCCTTCACCCCTTATGGAAGCTGGCAAAATGAATTGCACCCGGGGAACCCCACAAATAAAAAGGGCCCGGAGACCTTTGAACTCCGAGACTGAAAATCTTGGAGCCAATCCAAACCTGAGTTAATCCAAGGATCTTCCCTCATGACTGGGGGTGCAGGGCCAAAGGGCAAAGGGAGGAGAACCCCTCCGTGGACGGGCAGTGCATAGGCACGCAGGCAATCAGATTTATCACCACTAGAGGGGCAGCACAAGGGGAGCTGAGGTACCCAGGGAGAACTGAGAAGACCCCCTGCCCCTCAGGAGAAAGGAGAGAGGTGAAATGACCCAAAGGACTAGGCCTGAGCAGGAGAGGAGGACAACCTGGGTTTCCCCCAGCCCCTGACAAGGACATCACATTCCTAAAGGCCTTCTTTACCCCATGGATGCTCCAGCAGGACATAGGGTACAGTTCCTGGCCAGACTCAGGCCAGACCCAACCCTGGGATGGCCAGGGGTCCTTGGGATATATGTTCAAAGGTAAACATGGCTTCCCCTGTGGCCATCTGGAGTGACCGCACCAAATCCTCAGGTGAGCAGAGCCAAGTGCTCACTCATTGGCCTTCTGGGGGCTCCCACCCCTCACTCCTTGGGCCTGAGGTCCCCAGAAACTGACCCTGAGCTTGTCCTCAGGCAGAGGTGGGCCTGGCCCTGCCCCAGCTAGAGCAGGAGAGAAGTTCATATCTAGATACAGGAAAGGACCCCTGACCTGGGAGGATTGCCTCCCTGCCCCGCCTCCCCCACCATCACCCCAACACCAGCCCTCAGACCCAGGCCTGCAGCCAGCCCCGTGGAGGGTGGGGGCAGAGGGGGAAGGAAAGCTCTGACGTCACTCTGCACTTTAAGAGCTGCTTTTATTAGAGGTAAATTCCAGACCGAGGAATCACCCAAGAGCAAACAAGACGGCAGGGTATCTGGAAACCTTGGGGCTCCTGGACAGAGGGGTGAGGGCTCCTGGCCAACCCCCTTCATGGCCCAGGGCAAGGGACCACTGGCCGAGTCCGCCACCCCTAAGCAGATCTGCAGGCCTGGCCTCGGCTTGCTCCTGACCACCCAGGGTTGCCTGCGGTGGGCCTCTCTCTGTTGTCCAAATCTGGATGGAGGGTGGGAGCCATATCCCTCACAGAGACGTCGTCACCACTTCTGGCTTCTGAATGTGGAGCTGGTGGAGAGAAGGGACAGGTGATGACAAGGGGCAGCCCCAGGGCTGGGTAAACTCCGGGGCTGGGACAAGCTTATCTGAGTCACCTCTGTGGTGGGGTCCACCTTCTCCAGGGAGGGTCGGAAGTGACTGTAGCCATTCTCAAGGCCAAATTTGTCCTCCTTCAGGTTCTTGCCTGTAGGGAGAGGTGTGAAGTGAGAGGGGATCAGGGAGGGGCTGGGAGACACAGGGGGTAGTTTCCAAAAAAAGAAAGAGAATCCTCCCACCATTCAGCACCCTGATGGGGTCTTGGGGGGTTTGGAGCTTGCCTGGGTAGCTGGCCCAGCAGGACCTAGGGACAGAAGGCAAGCTGAGCAGCAGCCCACCATCACATGACAGGGGTCAAATGTCATAGCCCAGGAAGTGGGGGTCACGGCCAGGGGCCTGGTGCACCATAGTACCATGTAATGAGATTATAGATTGGAACAGGAGGCAGCCACCTGACTCAGCAGGTGTCCCCAGTCTGCCCCACCCATAGCAACAGTAACCACAACAGGAAGAGCCCAGCTTGGCCAGGAATGCTGGGTTGTCCCCTTCCTTGTGTGGGGCAGACGCTCCCCCAGCCCTTTCCCTGTCTTAATGGGACTCTTCTGGGAGCAGGAAGTCCACCTCTGACCCATTGCTTGAAGAACCACACTCAACTCAGGTGGCACCTCCTCAGAAGCCTTTTCTGACCCCCACCCAGGCTGGGCCAGGCCTCCTCCGTGTTCCAGTCACGGGCTGGGCACCACCCTGCCATCTCACTTGGTTCAGTGCATGTCTGATACCGTTGCCAGGTGCTCTTTTGGGGCAGAAGCCGGCCCTCAGCACCCTCTGCTCCACTGTGTACAGGGCAGAGCGTGATGGTGGGCTGCTGTGTCAGAAAGAACTGGGAAGCCCGGGAGGCTGGGCTTGCTCAGGGGCAGGGCAGGGCAGAGGCCAGCCACACTCTTGGGGAAGAGGCTATGGAGGCAGGGACAGGGGCAGACATGGCACGGGGGCCTCCTGAGCGACTCTGGAGCCAGAGTCAGCTAAAGGACTAGGAGGCTTCCTGGAGGGGCCAGTGTCTAAACCAGATCCTGGAAACAGACTGGGATCGGGGCCTGCAGAGTGGGAATGTTCTAGATGGTGCCCCAGCATGTGCAAAGGCCAGGAGGGGCAGGGTGGCGGTGCAGGACCCAGCAATCCGATAGGGAGAAGCTGAGAAGACGGAGGGTCACCGAGACTCTCCCTCCAGGTTTGCCCGACCCATGCCCTGACGACAGGTACCTTCCCAGATGTCTGTGTTCTGGAAGGTGCCAGGGATGTCTCCTCTCTGCCACTCCTGAGAAGGATCGTACTCTTGCCTGTTAACAGAAGTGTGGTGAGCAGAGGGAAGCAGGGAGGTCAAGGAGGGGGCTCACCGGGCCCTACCCCTGGGCTTCCCCTAGGGGACTGTCACGGCCACAGCCCTGAGTCAGGGAGGGCCCTGCAGTGAATGAAGAAGTTCAACATGACCTCCCCACCCTCTGAGGGCCCTGGCTGGGCTTGCTGGGTGCCCCTCAGTCCCCTCAGTTCCTTGACTCTGTGATGGGGACATTGCAATAGGGTCAGGGTGGATCCCTCCAGCTACAGACCTGGGGCCAGGTGCTGCACCCAGTATTTCACCTCAATCTTTGCCCGAGTGTCTTATTCTATTTATAGCTGGGAAAGCAGGACCGAGCTGGCTCGTTCCCAGCTAACCAGTACAGCTAAGCTGCTCAGGGGCCGGCCAGGTGATGATAAACTGCAAATGATCTCATTGCACAATCTAACTCCAGGGCTTAAGTTTTTGTTTCCATTTCTTGGCCTAACAGATGTATCCAAAGGCCCTGGGCTGGAAGGGGCCCTGCACCCCGTCTGGCCTCCGCTGGCCTCTTTGTCTGGCTGAATGAAACAGAGCCTCAGGACCTTGGCTGCCCAGGGTCCCTTCTCTCCTTCTGTCTCCTCTCTCTGGGCCCACTGTGCCGTCCCCACTGCTCACCTGTGCAGTTCCCTCTGGGATCGACCAAGGAAGATGGTCAGGATGACCACTACGATCAGCATCACCGCCACCGCAGCGGCCACTATCCCATACACGAGATTCTTGCTGAGGCTCAACTCACAGGACTCTCCCCAGTGCCAGTGTGTGTTCGTGTTCGGGCACCTGGGGACACACACAAACTCAAACCAGTCCACAGGCATCCCTCTGGTCAAGGAGGGCTAATCTCCAAAGCAAACATCAATTCCAAAGCTGGGGACAGAGACTGGGTACCCAGAAAGCCTGCCTCCTAAAAGTCAGGGACTCAGGGCCAGCAGAACAGGAATTCTGAAGATTAGGGCTCAGAGGGATCCCAGGGAACTGGGCAAGTTGGCCCGGGCAGTGAGGTTTACCCATCTAATCTCCAAGTAGCTGGCATCTGATGCGCTTGTTATCTTGTTTTAGATTTTATACTTTAATTTATGGTCTTGGGAACTTAAGTCTAGGCCACAGCTGAAGGTGATAATGGTACCACAGCGAGATAACATGAGTGACAGTCACAGAGACAGGGGAAGGGGGGAAGTTGACCGGCTGAGCTTTATCAGGAAGGGGATGGCTTGGCCACAGATGCCCTACTCTACAATGTGCCCATCCTTGACTCTCATGGGGGTGAGGGACGATGGTAGAGGGAGAAGACATGGAGAGGAGGAAGGAGAAGGTGCCTTCCAAGCTTGGTCACCTCCACCTGACCCATGGGAGTGGACAAGGGTGGGGAGGGCCTTTCCACCAGGAGAGGGTGGGTGCTCACAGGCATCGGGGGCCACTCCGATGCAGCTGGCACTCGCCCTGGTTACAGTTGAGTTGCGACTTTGTCCCTGGGGTGCACTTGGTCACGCAGGCCAGCCTTCCATCCAGTTCGTCCACGTAGTAGAATTGGCCGTAGCCCTGGGCAGCTCCCCGGGCGCATTGCTCTGGAGGTGAGGGGCGGGCAGTGGGTGTCAGCCTGACTACAGCTCCCCTCCGACTCCAGGCTCACTGCCCACACCCCAGCCCCTTCTGTCCACCCGAGATGCTCACCCTGGGGGTCATAGCCCAACTTCACATCCTCTTCCACCTTAGTGGCCTCTGAGTTGTAACACAGTATGGAAGCTGCCAGGGACGAGGGAGAAGAAAACCAAGAGAAATGCTTCCTTCCACCTCCACGGGTGTAGCCAGGGCTTCCCAATCTCTACCACACCTTCCTCACTGGGCCAGCACCAGAGGGGTGGTGGCCCATCCCCGGATATGCAAAGGGCCTGTGGACAGGCTCAAGGGGAGCCATTGAGGGTAATGAAGGCAAGAAGGAGGTTGGGGGTCAGGGGAGGTCCCCGGACCTGGGTTCTAGATTTCTCTACATGAGGCTTCGGGAGTCGGGGAGCAGGAAGCCAAGACCGAGACCCCCTTTACCACCCATGCCGAGGAGTTTTGAGGGAGCCTACTTTGACACTTGAGAACATCGTTCTGGATCTCTCTGGTTGCATTTGTGATCTTGGCCTTCACGATATTTTTGAGGTTCTGGAAGTGTGTCCGAAACTCTGAGGTATAGTTGGTCTCCAGGACCACGTCATTTTCCACCACGATGCTGCCGTTGCTGGAATGAGGAGTTGTTTCCTCAGGTCCCCGATGTCACCCACCCGCCCAGCAAGGGAGGCTCCCCCTCGAAGAAGCAGGAGGAGAAATGGGGGACAAAGTAGCCCCAGAGACAGGGAAGAAGAGAGTTCCTCTCTTGAGCTGCTAACCATCGAGGAGGCAGTGGAGCAAGACCAGGTAAGGTCCAGAAAGAGCAGCAGCCACTGTAATGTCCACGGGTGGAATCCATCTCTGTGAACCCAGAGGTGCCTTATGTGGAAGCTGGCTGGGGGCGGGGGGCGGAGGGAGGAATGAAAAGAGAGGGGGTAGATCTCATGAAAATAGAAAGAGACTGATGGAGAAGAGAAGGAGATGGGGGAGGGGAGCAGAGGGCCTGGACAGCAAGATCACCAAATCATACGTGTCCATGTAGGAACGCACCACCGGGAGCCTGCCTATGTATGTGATGATAATGCACGGATTAAAATAATAATAATAATAATAATAATAATAATAATAATAATAATGGAAGGGAGGTTGGTAGGAGTAGAGCAAGTGGATGAGGGAAGGAAGGAGGGATCACAAAGGAAATGTACTGGAGAATGAGATTAATAATATGATTTTTTTTTCTAGAAACAGAACCCAGAGGCCTTTGCAACTGAGCCACATTCTCAGCCTTTTTTATTTTATTTTTTTGAGACAGTTTCTCACTGTGTTATTTAAGGCCTCGCTAAGTTGCCGAGGCTGACCTCAGACTTGCAATCCTCCTGCCTCAGCCTCCTGAGTCACTGGGATTATAGGCATGCACCACCCAGCAGATTGATCAAATTATGTTATGACTGTGGTATAAGGAATCACACTATTATGTATCATGATAATGCACCAACAAAAGGTAAATTAAGACTAAAAATAAAACTGAAGGTTGTGGTGCACACCTGTAATCCCAGTGACTCAGGAGGCTGAGGCAGGAGGATCAAGAGTTCAAAGCCAGCCTCGGAGACTGTGTTTCCATCAGGGCTCTTCAGAGTTCAGTCCCTATCAGCCCATGGCTGGGCTGGGGCACTCGAACCTGGACACAGCCACACCACACTCCGACTTCTTCTCTGTTCTTCTCCTTGTCCCAGCACAGAGCACCCCATACCCCAGCATCCCAGAATCGTGGCCGATCCTCATCAGTTCCTCTTCCACCCCCAATAACAGACACCCGTCATCCTCTGGGGCTGGTCCTGCCTCCCACGACCTTTCCCACTGAACTCCTTTTCTCCTGACTGTCACCTCTCTGGTCTTTACCACTTTCACCTCCAGTTTAGACCCCTGGGCACCCATTCTCCACCCTGAGCAGTCTGCCCTGAAAGTCAGATACTCCCCATCACGGCTGGACCTGTAGACGCCTCAGGTCTAACTAACCTGGCACCCGCCAGGTCTCCAACCTCGTCCCAATGCGCCTGCTCTTCCCCAGGCCGCCAGCCAACTTGAGCACCTTTACGTTCCTGGAATCTTGCCCCCTCTCTCTCAACTCTGGGCTCCTTGTCCTGGTCTCTGCCCTTGGCTGTCCCTCTCTCCCCCTCCCTGCCCTGGCCCTGCCTCGCTCCCCCTCATCCCTCAAGGTTTGATTTAGTCGCCCCATCTCCCAGGAAGAATCCTCCTATCTCCCCAGGCTTGCTTTCAGGACCCCTCCGGTGCCACCCCGAGGGTCCCTGACCCCACCTCTCTCCAGACTGCACAGCCACTGTGTCACTCTGAGCTCCAGGAAACTGGGACTCATGTGCTCCCGCCATCTAGCACAGGGCTGGCTTTTAATAAAAGTTTGTTGAGTGAATGAAGGATCAAGTGTCAATGGATAATTTATCAAGAATCAATGAACAAGTAATGAAAGAGCTAACAAAAGATTGAATCATTGAATGGAGGCATGGACTCCTCGGGTGTGGCCCAGCCGGGGGTGGACATGCTAACCATTCATGACGGAGGAGGCAGGACAGCAGGGCTAGAGAGAGGGGCTCCCTACAGCGTATAAACCTGCCCCCCAACATACTTACAGCAATCTCCTGATGATCACCTCTCTGTATTCAGAAAGGTCCTTCCCCATGTAGACTTTGTTCATCTGAAAGAAACCGCTGAGATCACACAGGGCCCCAGAGTGCAGAGGCCACGACGCCCCCATCTCCTGGCAGCCCCAGGCTCTCTCCTGCGGGGCCCACAAGCGAGAGGACAGAAAGGCACAGGAAGCCCACTCTGCCAGACACGTGCAGGGTGGGTGGGGTTCCTGGGTGGAGGCTATCAGAGGGTCCCCTCTTGAGACTTGGGAGACAGAGAGGCCCATGAGCTGCAGAGCACGGGTGAGTCCCCCTGCCCTGCACCCCTGGGCCCCTGCTCTTACCTCCTGCTTGAAAAGTTCTGTGAAATTCTGGTATGCCTGGGAGGATGTGTTATTCAGGTCATTTGTGAAGTTCCTGTGAATCACTTTCACTATCACCGTTACGGTGGCATTGAGGACGTCTGGGACTTCTGTGGGGGACAGGCCACACTGTGCATGAGAGAACAACCTCCCCGAGTACCTCTGGGGACTGGTAAATTCTCTGCCTCTGGGTCTCATGGCAGTGAACCAAGTGGGTTAGGACCAGAGGATGGGAAAATCAAGAGTCAGGTGGGGTCACTGAGACTTCTGTCCCTGGTCTCCCAATCCCATGAGAAGCTAGTGGCCAGGATTGAGACCCAGAGGGAATTAAGTGGAAGACTCCAGGAAGTTGGGAGATAGAAACCCCCTGATGGAATGGGCAGGAGAACTAGCGAAAAGGCCCCTAAAGATGGTGGCTGAAGGTTCATGTCCTACCCGAGCTGTAGCCTGGACAAGTCTCATCATGGCCTCTGCCTGCCCAGCAAGGACATGGCCAGTACTTCCAACACCACCATCTTATTTTAAGCGCTAAGGGGCCTGGAAGGATCTGTAGGTCTCAGAGGTCATTACCTATGGGGAAGGAATACAGGAGGGTCTGGCACTGGTAACCAAAGTAGCCTTGGGGACAGACGCATTCTTTTCCATTCCAATGTCCACCGTTGTAGCAATCCACTGTGGAGGGACAGAATTCCTGTAGGTCATCAAGGAAGCCCGAGGAGCAGAAACACTGGCTCCCAGCCAGGTCTCAGCATGCAGGCATTACATTAAAGAGAAAGATAGAACAAGATGATCCTGCAGCCACTGAGGACCCTCAGGTTCCACCCTGTCCCCAGAGTAAGTAGGGGAAGGAGGAGACAGGCTGAGAGCAAGGAAACAAGAAATAGACAAAGAAGAGCCCTGAGAACCCCAGAAGGACACCAGCTATCAATGTGGGTGACAGGCATGGTGGCCAGAGAGAGCGGGAAAAGTGGAAAATGACAACGGGAACAGGTGATCAGAGCACGGGACACACAGATGACACACACAGAGACGCACCTGGTGGCAAAGAGGAAGAGCTGGTGGTCATGGAAGTGGAGTGATTGCTGGTGAATGCAGGACCAGCGGTGGAATTGGTTGGGAACACGGGGGCTGGGGATGAAGCAGAGTGAGGAGAAGAAAAACCAGGAGAACTTGTAGGAACAGAAGCATTAGAGACTGCTGAGAAGGAGGACATCGAGAAAGAACTCCAAGAGGTGGCATGGAGGACCGTGGTTCCAGAGCTGCGAGGTGGTGCCGTCGTGTATCCTGAACCTGGGCTGCTGGGGAAGGCTGTCCATCTTTCAGTCGAGACCGTGGTTTGGGACGTATAAGATGGCACCGTGGTGTGGTCAGAACCTGGGATGCTCGGCAAGGCTGTAGATCTTTCAACTGACACGGAGGTTTGAGAGACATCCAAGGGTGGTCTAGAGTGGGTTGAACCAGGGCTTTTCTGGGAGGCTGTGGATCCTTCTGGAAGGATGGTGACTGGGGAGGCTTCTGCTGGTGCTGTCGAGTGAGCTGGTTCAGGGCTGGTCTGGAGGCTGGTCTGTCCTTCAGTCTGGACTGTGGTCTGAGAGCTGTCTGCTGGCTCTGCTGTGTGTGCTGAAGCAGGGCTGCTTAGATACCTGGTAGTTTCTCTGGTTGGAATAGAGGTTTGTGAGCTGGGGGATGTCACTCTTGTGGGTTCTGACCCTGGGCTGCTTGGGAACACACTTGGTCCTTCAGAAAGGGCGGTGCTTTGAGAGCTGTGAGATGTAGGTGTCACGTGTGCTGAATAGGAGCTGCTTGGCGAGGTTGTAGATGCGTCTTTCAGGACTGAGGTTTGGGAGGTGTCAGGTGACACCGTTGTGGGTCTTGAACCTGGGCTGCTTGGGAAAGGTGTAGATCCTTCAGACACCAACGTAGTTTTGGGGCTGTCAGACAGCATTGCTGTGCGTGCTGACCCTGAGCTGCTTGGCAAGGTGGTAGATCCTTCAGGCCCAGGTGTGGTCTGGGAGCTGTCAGCTAGCTGGGTCGTGTGGGCTGAACCAAGGCTGGGCTGGAAGGCCGTGGATCCTTCAGTTAGGACAGTGGCTGGGGTGGTGTCTGCTGGCTCTATTGTGTGAGCTGACGCAGGGCTGCTGGGGAATCCTGGAGATGCCTCCTTTGGAACTGTGCTTTGGGAGTTTTCAGATGCTGAAACTGGGCTGCCTGACAAGGTCGTTGATCCTTCAGATGTGGCTGAAGTTTGGAGGCTATAGGGTGGTGCTGGAGTGTGTGCTGAACTTGGGCTACTTCGCAACATTGTCCATCCTGCAGATATCACAGTGGTTTGGGAGCTCTCTGTTGCCACCGCTGGGTGTGCTGAACCTGGGCTGCTTGGGAAGCCCGTGGATCCTGCACCCAGATCTGGGGTTGGGGTGCTGTCTAATGGCAGTGTGATATGGGCTGATCCAGGGCTGCTCAGGAAGGTTGACGATCCTCCTGTGTGGACAGTAATTAGGGAGCTGACAGGTGACAAGGCTGTGGGGGCTGAGCCTGAGCTGCTCATTAAGGTGGTGGATCCTCCAGCCTTCACAGTCTGGGAGCTGACTGATGGCAGTGTAGTGGGGGACGACCCAGGGCTTGTTGGGGAAGCTGTCGATGCTTCAGTGTGGAGAGTGGGCTGGGAGCTGCCTGATGGCATCAATGTGCTCACCACACCTGGGCTGCCCTGGGAGGTTGTCCCCCCTTCGGCAGGGACTGGGGTTTGGGAGATATCCATGAGCCCTGTGGTTTGCCCCACACTTGAGCTGCTTGGCAGGGTGGTGGCTTCCTGGGTCAGAGCTGTGGTTTGAGAGTTATCAGTTGGCACTGTTGCTTGTGCTGACTTGGAGCTGCTTAGGAAAGTGGTTGACCTTTCATCTGGGAGTGTGGTTGGGGAGCTGTCTGGTGGCGCTCTGGTGTGTGCTGATCCAGGGCTGCTTAGCAAGGCCGTGGACCCTCCCGACTGCACTGTCACTGGGGAGCTCTCCGTGGGCTCTGCGGTGTGTGCTGGGCCTGAGCTGCTTGGCCTGGCTGTAGACACATCAGGCAGGACCATGGGCTGGGAGCTGTCAGAGACCACTGTGGTGTGCTCTGACCCTGGGCTGCTTGGAAAGGAAGTAGAGCCTCCCAGCACCCATGTGGCTTGGGGGCTGTCAGAAGTGACTGTCATGTGTGCTGAATTGGAGCTGCTTGGCAGGGTTGTTGACCCCTCTGTTTGGAGTGCAGTTTGGGAGCTCTGAGATGGCACTCTGGTGTGGGCTGAATCTGGGCTGCCTGGGAGAGCTGTGGAACCACTTGCCAGGGCTGTGACTTGGGAGGTGTCCGGTGACACTGCTGTGAGTGCTGAACCTGAGCTGCCTGGAAAGGGAGTGGATCCTTCAGTCAGGAGGGTGGACTTGGAGCTCCTGGAGGTCACTGTGTGGAGGGCTGATCCAGTGCTGCCTGAGAAGGTTGTTGGCCCCCCAGAGGGCAACGTGGTTTGGTGGGTGTCTGAGGGCATGGATGGGGGTGCTGACCCTGGGCTGCTTAGCAAGCTTGTAGATCCTTCATTCCTCACTGTGGTTTGGGAACTCTCTGATGGCAGGGGAGTGACAGCTGACCCAGGACCCCGAAGGGAGGTCGCAGATGCTCCAGTGGAGACAGAGGTGTGGGAGGTGTCAGAGGGCGTGGCTGTGCTCACTGCAGCAGGGCTGCCAGAAGGGGTGGTCGGCCCTGGGGTCAGGACTGTGGCCTGGGAGGTGTCTGGTGACACCCCTGTGGGTGCAGAGCTTGGACTACTCAGCACAGTTGTTGATGTTTCAGGCAGGACGGTGAACTGAGAGATCACGGTTGTCACTGAGCTGTGTTCAGAAGCAGAGCTGCCTGGGAAAGGTGTAGATCCCTCAGACACCAACGTGGTTTGGGGGCTGTCAGATGGGGCTGCTGTGCGTGCTGACCCTGAGCTGCTTGGTGAGGTTGTAGGTGCCTTAACTGTCCCCGTGGTCTGGGAGCTCCCAGATGGCAGTGTAGTGAGGGCAGACACAGGGCCACTGGGGGAGGCCATGGATGCTCCAGTTAAGACAGTGGAGTTGGGGCTCTCAGGGGAAGACGCTGTGCTCTCTGCAGCTGGGCTTCCCGTGGTGCTAGTTAACCCCTCAACTGTAGCTTGGGAAGTACTAGTGGGCAGTGTGGTGTGTGCCACCCCTGAGCTGCTTGGCATGGTTGTAGCTGCATCAGGTGGGGCTGTGGTGTGGCTGCTGTCAGGTGCCCCTGTGGTGCGTTCTGACCCTGGGCTGCTTGGCAAGGTGGTAGATCCTTCAGGCCCAGATGTGGTCTGGGAGCTGTCAGCTAGCTGGGTCGTGTGGGCTGAACCAAGGCTGGGCTGGAAGGCCGTGGATCCTTCAGTTAGGACAGTGGCTGGGGCGGTGTCTGCTGGCTTTGTTGTGTGAGCTGAAGCAGGGCTGCTGGGGAATCCTGGAGATGCATCCTTTGAAACTGTGCTTTGAGAGTTTTCAGATGCTGAAACTGGGCTGCCTGACAAGGTCGTTGATCCTTCAGATGTGGCTGAAGTTTGGAAGCTATAGGGTGGTGCTGGAGTGTGTGATGAACTTGGGCTACTTTGCATCATTGTCCATCCTTCAGATATCACAGTGGTTTGGGAGCTGTCTGTCGACACCACTGGGTGTGCTGAACCTGGGCTGCTTGGGAAGCCCGTGGATCCTGCACCCAGCTCTGGGGTTGGGGTGCTGTCTGATGGCAGTGTGGTATGGGCTGATCCAGGGCTGCTCAGCAAGGTTGAGGATCCTCCAGTGGAGACAGTAGTTGGGGAGCTGTCAGGTGACACTGCTGTGAGTGCTGAACCTGAGGTGCCTGGCAAGGGTGTGGACCCTTCAGTCAGGAGGGTGGACTTGGAGCTCCTGGTGGTCACTGTGTGGAGGGCTGATCCAGTGCTGCCTGAGAAGGTTGTTGGCCCCCCAGAGGGCAACGTGGTTTGGTGGGTGTCTGAGGGAGTGGATGGGGGTGCTGACCCTGGGCTGCTTAGCAAGCTTGTAGATCCTTCATTCCTCACTGTGGTTTGGGAACTCTCTGATGGCAGGGGAGTGACAGCTGACCCAGGACCCCGAAGGGAGGTCGCAGATGCTCCAGTGGAGACAGAGGTGTGGGAGGTGTCAGAGGGCGTGGCTGTGCTCACTGCAGCAGGGCTGCCAGAAGGGGTGGTCGGCCCTGGGGTCAGGACTGTGGCCTGGGAGGTGTCTGGTGACACCCCTGTGGGTGCAGAGCTTGGACTACTCAGCACAGTTGTTGATGTTTCAGGCAGGACGGTGAACTGAGAGATCACGGTTGTCACTGAGCTGTGTTCAGAAGCAGAGCTGCCTGGGAAAGGTGTAGATCCCTCAGACACCAACGTGGTTTGGGGGCTGTCAGATGGGGCTGCTGTGCGTGCTGACCCTGAGCTGCTTGGCCAGGCTGTAGGTGCCTTAACCGTCCCCGTGGTCTGGGAGCTCCCAGATGGCAGTGTAGTGAGGGCAGACACAGGGCCACTGGGCGAGGCCGTGGATGCTCCAGTTAAGACAGTGGAGTGGGGGCTCTCAGAGGACGATGAGGCTGTGCTTGCTGCAGCTGGGCTTCCCGTGGTGCTAGCTAACCCCTCAACTGTGGGCTGGGAAGTACCAGTGGGCAGTGTGGTGTGTGCCACTCCTGAGCTGCTTGGCAAGGTTGTAGATGCATCAGGTGGGGCTGTGGTATGGCTGCTGTCAGGTGTCCCTGTGGTGCGTTCTGACCCTGGGCTGCTTGGCAAGGTGGTAGATCCTTTAGGTCCAGGTGTGGTCTGGGAGCTGTCAGCTAGCTGGGTCGTGTGGGCTGAACCAAGGCTGGGCTGGAAGGCCGTGGATCCTTCAGTTAGGACAGTGGCTGGGGCGGTGTCTGCTGGCTCTGTTGTGTGAGCTGAAGCAGGGCTGCTGGGGAATCCTGGAGATGCCTCCTTTGGAACTGTGCTTTGTGATGCACCTGTTACGTGTGCTGAAACTGGGCTGCCTGGCAGGGTTGTTGATCCTTCAGGCTGGA